GCCTATTATAGTTGCCATTTTAATTTTTGTGCATTGAGGGGTTGAATTAATTGTTTCCGCTGCTTCTTTGTTATATTGGTTCAATCCCCGACAACCTCTTCATGTGGAACACCGTGCTTAGAGGATCAGCTCAATGCCGCCATCCTCAACTCGCCATTTCACCCTATGCTAAGATGGAACATGCATGGTGACATTCGACTTGATCGCTAGATTCACTACACATTTCCTTTCGTGCTGAAGGCGTGTACGAGGCTTTTTTGGGTTAACATGGGTAGTGTGATTCTTAGCAAGACTTTAAAACATGGGTTTGAGTGGAATAAGGTCGCGAGGAATACCCAACCTATTTTCATGCAAGTATAAGGGCTGCCAGCACATTTTTTGATGGCTCTGCACGGGAGATGTTGTTGCTTGGTCATCTTTGATTGCAGGATATGCAAGGAGAGGGAATTGCATATGGAAAGGTGGTTAGTCGATGAGATTCCAAAGAAGGATTTGGTTTCTTAGAATGTGATGATCACAGGGTACGTGAAACAGAGGGTGATGGAGTATGCGATGGAGTTGTTTAATGTGGTTCCTAAAAGAGATGTTGTGACATGGAATGCTATTATTTCAGGCTATGTGCTTAGTGGGGTGCACAGGAAGGCACTGGAGATGTACGAGGAGATGACAGGTAGCGGGAAGCGTCCTGATGAAGTGAACACGTTGAGTCTATTGTCGGCCTGTGCAATTTAGGAGCTCTAGCTTTTGGGAAGAAGATACATTGCTCTATTTTGGAGATGGGCGGGGGAGAATTAAACATTTTTCTTGGTAATGCTCTTATTGATATGTACGCCAACTGCTGGAGAATTGACAAGGCACTTGATGTATTTCACCGCATGAAAGAGAGGGCTGTGTTCATGGAATTCTTAATTGTAGGATTGGCTTTTACTGGATATATGGAGAAAATCCATTTCCTTTTTTGAAGAGATGAAGAAAATGAAATTTAGGCCTGATGAAATTACATTTATGGGGGTATTGATCGCCAGCAGTCACACTGGAAAAGTTGACGAGTATAATGTTCAGCCAAATATAAAGCACTGTGGGTGTATGGTGGATTTATTTGGGTGTGCAGGGTTGTTGGATGAAGCATTTAAGTTCATATACTCAATGGAGATTGAACACAATACTATTATTTGGAGGATACTGCTTGCTGCTTGCAGAATTCGTGGTAATGTTGAGCTGGGAAGAATTGCAAATGAGCAGCTGCTCAAACTCAGACAGGATGAAAGTGGTGATTATGTGTAATTGTCAAACATAAATGCTTCGAGTGGGGAGTGGCATGGTGCTGAAAATGTGAGGAAATTGATGGATGATTCATGATAGTAGGGTGACGAAAGAGCCTGGATTTAGCCTGATTGAAGAAGAAAATGATGAACTCTTCATTTCTTGTTTGGTTCAAAACCTCGTCGAGTTTAAAAGAGTGTACACTTGGTTTTTAAAGGTGAAAATTTCTCTCATGCTCTTTATGTTTCATATAAAGGAAAATATGCATCGAACAAAATTTTTTATGATGTTTTCTTTATCTACTCTGTTTTTTCCTTCTTTGAAAGTAGTTATTCATACTTAGTTCCATAGTGCTGCTAAATTGAATTCTGTTGTCTGGATGTTGAGATTAATGCATGTTCAGTACATGCAATGGCCTGATGCATAATTTCACTCTTACTGAATAGTTGTAATTATATAAACATAATATTGCTAGTGTGGTTTCTGAAATATAGGCTGGATCAAACAATGTGAATGTAATACATAATGAAATTGTTCCTTTGCTGATGGCAAGTGACAAGTCTGAAACTTGGCCACTAACAGACACAATTGAGATGCACTTCAAATTTGACACTATGGAGTACACGAATGAAATGTTAAGAGTCATAAAGGAATAGAAATTAACACGACACAACGGGCTCTTGCTTTGCTCAAACGTACATCTTTCCCATCCCAAATCAATTCCGAGACAGAGCAACAGCAGACAACACAATCAAAAGCATAAGCACAAGAATTGCTATAAAGGATCCAACTAAAGAGCCAGAGACTCGTTCACAGAAGGAGTTGAATTGTTGACAGATAGCAAACCAGTTGGCCCGAGTATTGCCTTTGTGGGCTAGGTAAACAATGGCAGTCGCAGCAGAAGCTCCAGATGTCAAAAAAGCCAGCATTGCCTTCATAAGGTCAAAATCATTCTATTAGTGAGCTTTGTGAAGCCAAACAGTATTTGATAGTTTGATATCAGTTAGAGATAACCTCAAAACTTACAAGATCTATGAACTTTTATGTCATATATGGTATGATGATTAGATAGTATTAGACATTATTAAGGGAAAAAAAGGAGAGAAAGAAGCTGAAATCTTGTTTATTTTAGTGTCTAGTCCTACCCATTACCACATTTTATTTTGGTGACGTGTTCAGCGATTATGCATTGCTTTTATTGTCTTGTAGCATTATCTTGTTTATTTATGTTATTGAGTCAGAGAAAATTACCATATCAAAGATGATCAATACTGTCCTTGTTACTCGTGCGTCACTTTTTACAATGTGAAAGATGGATAGTAGGAGTGAAAGGATCAGATAGGCGGTTACAATGACATTTGCGACCACAAAGAACCTGTTGATGTTTACATCGATGTTAGAAAAATATCATAAAGTGATGATACAATTCTAAAGGGAAGACAAGAGAAACACTGACGTGAATGTAGGGAGATCCTTGTATTCAGCCCGGAAATGGATGAACTGTCTGAAAAAGGGAAGTGATTCATTTGTTTTTCCCATTGCAATGGCACTTCCCAAGGTACCAATAACAGCAACTATTCTCATAATAAAATCGAGTCTGGATATGCCTCTGTTTACAGCAATTTTTGGAGCATCATCCTTGGGAGGCTCACCGGCTTCTTCTGCACCTGCGCTCATTTTCTTAGGGAAATGGCTTTTGTTTAAAGGGTTTGCAGAGAAGGATTTTGAATGAATTTTCGAGTCGAAGGCTTATGGTTGGGGAAGATGATGTGTGTATTAACTATTTATACATGTTCTGAAGACAGAATGTATGTTTAAGGATCCACTTTGTCAGTCAGTCAAATTCAAGAAGGGATGGCAGGTTTGAATGAAGTTTGGTATTGAAGAATGTTTCTGTCATTATCAAATACTAGAAATTGCTTTATCATCTGTACATGCCTACACTTGCCGTATTTTTTTTTACTATACCAATCCTTACCATGTATAGCAAATTCATGCAATATCTATTCTGGCCCCAAAAAAAAATGAAATTGAATGACTGAAAAAAATGAGTTTTGAGTAGGTGCAGGAGTCCCAAGTAAGAATCAACTTAATCCACTCTCATTTCTTGAACCATAATTAAACTGAACATTTTTGAACTAAGTTAAGGAGTCGTAAAAAAATTTATCAATTGTAATGTTGGTTCATATCGAGTTGAACACATTGTCAACAAATGAAAGTTTATGGTGGATTTGGTTTGTTGACTAGACCGAAAATGAGAACGCAGCTTTCGACTTTCTTCAATTAATGTTAGGCATCAAGCCTGATTAGAAAAAAAATATCTCTAACCATTGACATTAACTACTTTGAGTATTAGTTACTAATCTACCTGAAATTCACATAGTGATATCATACCCACATCTTAAGAAACTTACTTTTCCAAGTGCTTTGGTCCCTAACTTTTAAACCCAATTTATATTGGAACATCTCCACCTTAATTATGGGAAACTTATCACACTGTGTAATTTATATCATTAGCATCTGTTTATACATATTGCTTAAATAACACTAGTTAAATATGTTAGCCTAACCATGAAAAGGTCGAACTCGCGTCTTAAAAATGGTTAAGCTCGTGCAACAAAGGGATGGCCAAGTTCTTGAGACCGATCGGTTTGTATAATTGAACTTGTTGTGGAAGTAGACAAAGTCCGCCAAAAGAATTGAAAGCAACGTAGTACGAACAGTTCTACTTAATTCTCGAACAAAAAGACCCTTATCTTACCTAGGTATGAGGGTAGAAACATCCGATCAAGCGCTTTACTTGATATTATGCTCAAAGCGAAAAAATCCATCATACAAGCTTTGTCTTGATCATAAACGGAGATAACTGCATCTTCTGCGGGAGCTCCAAGTTTCATTTAAGGCGGATATCATTGCTTAATATACTTAAATATTGGTCTCTAGCTAAAAATGTATACAAGTATCCATGGAAAATACAGGGATCAATGACCTACACGAGCTAAATTACAAGTGTATCAACGAACAGAGTCTGACGCAAGAACAGATCGGTCTATTGTCTCACCTCATTTTGGTATTAGGTTGCTTCAGCGCAAATCCGAAATCCGAAAGAAGACCGGAGAGAAAACCTCGAGTGTTTTTGCTCTCATCTTTTTCATTGTTGTTGCTCAAGTTACTTATAAGGGACCAATGGGTGTCAAAATCAGGTGAATGGCCGTTTTCTTGCATCATTTTTAAGAGCTCAGATACCTTGTTAATATTTCTTTCGGACCTGTATTTGTCAATCACAGAGCAAAACATCTCCTTGCTCGGGGTTTCACCTAACTGGATCATTGAGTAGAGCAACTTTTCCGCTTCTGCTGCTCGCCCATTTTCACTCAATCTGCAAACAAGAATGTTCCAAGTGGTTGTGCTCGGTGTTAGGTTTCTATATATCATCTCAGTATGAAAATCCAGAGCCATATCCAGGTTATGGCAATTACTGAAACCTTGGATTACATGATCAAAACTGCTTGAATCAGGGGCACTCCCCTTCTCCAACATTGTGTTTAGAAGGTCGACTGCCTTGTCCAGTCTACCATGCTGACAAAAACGCTTAATTAGATAGTCATACTTGATATTATCAGGAATCAGACCTTTTATCATCATCCTGTCCAGAAAATCGACTGCTTCACGGAGCTTGCCTCTAGTAAGAAGTGCCTCAACGATGTTATTCTGAATGGTTGAACAGTGAATCCAACCTCTTGATTCCATTTCTCGACTCAACTTCAAGGTTTTCCCCAGTTCCCCATTATCACAAAGGCAACTGATAACCTCTCGTAAACTACGATTACTTGGCCTAAGATCTTCTCCTATCATTGCTGTCAGATACTGCAGAGAACTCGAAATATCTTTACTTCGTAAAAACCCTTGAACAACAAAATTATAAGTAACTTCGTCAAATTGTAATCCTTTCTTTTGAAGTTCATCGATTAGAGCATCCACAAGGACAGTGTTATGTGCCTTGAAGAGGTAAAATATCAGAATGTTACAAAGAACACAGTCCGGAAGGTTCCTTTCAGGAAGCATAAGCTCTTTTAAGCTCAACGCAAAAGGAAACTTCCCTTTTGTGCACATCAAGCATATCAAATTGCGATAACTTGGAATTGAGATGCTCAAGTCTTTCCTTATCATGACCCCAAGCAACTCCATGATTTTCTCTAAGTTGTTTACTCGACAATACCCTTGAACCAACATGTTATAGGCCTCTGCATCTGGAACTAGCTCCTTCAACAACATTTCCTTGAATAGACTCGCCGCTTCTTCAATCCTTCCCGACTGGCAGAACCCACTTATCAAAGCAAAATGGACAGAAACAAAGTTTGAAGGTTGCCCTTTTAAGCATACATTTTTCAATGCGAGAGCTTTCTCAAAATTATTACTCCGACACAGCTGAGTAATCAGCAGAACAGATACATCCAAAGGCAGGGTTAAATTCTTAGCAAGTACAGTATCACAAACCGTAAAGGCTTCCTCAAACCTCTTCTCTTTACAAAACCCACTAATAAGGTTGCTGTAAACCGCCTGATCCAAGATATTGGTCTGATTAAAGAATTGTTCCACCAAAATGCAAGCAGTGGTAGTGAACCCTTCACCACAAAGCTTTTCAAGAAATGCGTAAAAAGTGTTCGATATCATCTGAGGCCTGACAATCAGCAAGGTCTCGAATAGCTCCACTGCCTCATTCAACCATTTGTTTTGGCATAGGCAATCGAGAAGGGCTATACCATCCTTGAACTTGGGTGTCCAATTATATTGTCGTGCAAGCAGCAAGCAATCACTCAGGCCTCTCAAGTTACCTTTATTGCACAGGTCCATCAATTGGGTAGTAAATGTTTTATTCTCAATTATTTGATGCCTTTGCACCATCACATTAAAAAGTATCTTAGCCCTGAAAGTAAATCCATTTTTGGTATAAGTCTGAACGAGCTTATTTAAAGCTTTTTCCTCAAGCTGGTAGACTGATTGAAACATTTTTCTCAAGA